AAAGTCACTGTGCGCCGAGAAGAAAATTATTTTTCTCACTGGCCCATGACTTTGTCGTAGTTTGTATTTTTTTGTTACAGAGATTAAGGGATGCAACGGGGATCGATTGATGGGGAATTTAATTCTCCGTCACACCCTCTGTGTTTCATTCCTTAATATTAATTAGCCAGCAAATGAATCATCGGAAAAACATTAAGAACATGCTGAGGACGGGGAAGACACAAATTCCACTCCGAAACTATCCCTGTGACAGCGGGACTGCTACTGCCGAGTTAGCCGCACAGGCAGTTCGCCCGGCCGTCAGATTCGACCGTGGCGGCATCCCTCCGTTGGGGTCGAACTACTTTTGGCTTGGGGTCAGTCTAACCCCGAGATCTGAGCCTCTACTTTAGTCAATCCTCTTTGGCCTCTACTTTAGTCAATCCTCTTTGGCAGGTATGATGAAGCTAGAAATAGGGGACAAGTTCGCCGGAGTGCCAGAAGCGCGTTCCGGTCGACTTACGCTTCCCCTCATCTCCTTTAGTCTCCCACCACTGGCACTTATTTTGCTGGAGGGAACGTTATGAAATTTATGTTTTCAGTGAAATGGATTGGAGGAATGTAATAGTATATTATGTCATCAGGCGACATAACGCCTTCAGCTCGGATTATAAAGCCACATTCGTCAGATAATACTTTTATCGCCGTGTGACATACACTATTTTTCGTCGATAGGCCCGAAAATCGCGATCTAGCCGAGCGAAGCGAGATTAGAATCGCGGTTTTCTCGGGCCTAGTGACGAAAAATTATGTTTTGCAAATTAAAATAAAAAATACAAAAAATTGCTGTGAAAATTTTTGTTTTGCACGTATTGTTTTTTGAGCAGCCCATGTTCCATTTGGCATATCAAACCATATTCTTTTTTTTTTCATTATGAATATCTCCGTATTTCTCGAAAAATAATGACTAAAATAGATTTAGAAATCATTTTTCATTATAATAACACCAAAAATGAAATGAAAATGAGTTTCTGCCAAAGACGAAAAATTTTTCATTTTTCGCGGGTTGACGGATGTTATGATACGAGCTCCCGAAAGTTCTTTGTTTTTGTCTTCTCCAAAACGTACTCCAATAGATATAAACGATCTGTGCGAGTTTCTGCAGGCAAAATGGTCAAATCGTGTGCAATTATAAATTGTAAAACATCTTCGCGGGAAAATTATCGTTTTTTCTCTCTTCCCAGTGAGAAAAAAAGTAAGAAGAGACGAGAATGGCTGGAAAAAAGCGGTGATTTGTTACCAAGTGATCAAGTATCAAAGAAAGATTGTTATTTTCGTGAGGTGCGTAAGTGAAAAATATTCTCATAATTCACTCAATTTCATTCGATTGCTCATTGTGTAACAACAGAGACACTTCGATAATGATCAGTGGGAGGGGAGGAATAACAAGGAGGTACTGAACGGATGCTGTACCGAGTATTTTCACGAGGAGACCCCCAAGGAGGAAAGGTATATGAAAAAATTGAAGACGTCTTCAGGATTTCCGCTTGAACTTTTTTATATGATACGATGTTCACCGTGAGTAAGTTAGTGATGATAGAATTGCATAAAAAAAATTCTTTCATGATTCATAATCTCGCTTCTAATCCTTCCATATTCCAAAATCTCCGCAATTGTCCAGCTATCATAACTTTGTGGATTAGGCCTACAGGGGATACCACATTAAAATCAAATGCGTCAAAAACTCTACCCCTCGGGTGACGTGGAAAGAGTTTTGTATACTTGAAGATCTTATTATTTTACCCTCATTCACTTCAGAGCTTCAATAAGATAAAAAAACTCACACTCCAATGAAATTTATATATTATGAACTAAAAATGATAATAAAACTCAAAATTATCATGGAAAAAAAAGTTGAAATAATCACTTCAATCTAATTCTGATGATGATTTTTTTCCTTTTAACTCTATTCCTCTCTAATTATCACTATATTACAATTCCTCTTCCGTAATGAAAGAAAAAAAAAAGACCGAGCGGAGATTTGAACTTGCGATGCCAAGCGCAACAGGCGTGTGGTGGGAGATCTGGCCGCGTGANCAGGCGTGTGGTGGGAGATCTTGTCGCGTGAGGGAAGAGGCGCGACAGCGTCACGCTCGGCGTCCGATGGTACTTGTCCCCGGTTCCGGTAACTCCTGATACGTTCCAAGTTGGTTCTCCGTTGAATATATGACGGGTTCGATACCCATGGAGTGCTAAACCCAAAGAGGATAGACCTGAGTAGAGGCCCGGATCGGGGGGTTTGACTGACTCCAAAAATGTTAGTTGGTACCCCACGGGAAAGGGGGCGACCCGGTCGAATTGTCGGTAAATGTGAGTCGGGTGCGTGAGTAACTCGGCAGTAGCAGTCCTGCTGTGACAGGAACAGGTTCAGAGAGGGATTTTTGTCCTCCTTATACTCAATGTTTACTTTATGTTTTTCAGTTGATTTATTCGCCGACTAATTAATATTAAGGGATGAAACAAAGACTGTTCAATGGAGAATTAAATTCCCCATCTATCAACCC